GAATTACACCACGCAATGAAGAAGAGTCCGACGGGTTGGCACTCGATGTCGTTTAATGCACATAAGGTTGATGGTTGTCACGGACATCGACGGCCTAGGGCTAATCCCTAGGGCAAACTATTATTGTGTTAACTTGAACAAGAGAGTAATAAGATTTAAGCGATAGGCTGAAGATGCCTGTTAGAAGTTCTAAGTTTTAGTTTAAGCGAGAACGCTCGTGAAGTGTAAACATTGCTGCAGTTGATCGCAGTATTTGTGCGGACAAGTGTCTTAAAAGTCCTGGCAGTAATTGATATAATAAAAAACAGGGATGTTAAAAAAAAAAACAAAGATTTACGCTACGATTTAGTGCGGAGACGTTAATATCGTACTCGAGGCCAACGGGCCTTACTAATGGTAACTAATAGTAATATTTGGTAGAAACTAACATAAGAAGTTGTAGAATATAACAGTCGGTGTCTTAACGTAATCTTGACTTAATCTTAACTTAAAGGTAGTTATGTTGTTGCATGCATTGAGAATGAAGAGTTCTGTGTTTGTCGCTTTGGTGTAGACGATGCTGGGGCGGGATGGTGGTTTTGGAAGAGTTCGCTGAGTCGTGTCCCTTCGAGGCGGTAGCCGCGCCGTGTGTGGTCAAGACGCTCTGCTACCGGAAGTTGCGTGTCTCAGGTCACGTGATGCTGGCGGGTGAAATTCCCCGGTATGACCCCGATTGGCCATACCAACACAATTACACCACGCAATGAAGAAGAGTCCGACGGGTTGGCACTCGATGTCGTTTAATGCACATAAGGTTGATGGTTGTCACGGACATCGACGGCCAAGCCGAGCGCATGCGAGGTGTGTGCCAAGAAGGAGGAAGGGACCGCGTTAGGAGAGTCAGGTGGTGCGGAGTAAGAGAAGTCGGCGCATAGCTGCAGGTAGGCGGAGTCGTTGTGCCATGGAGAGCTTGAGGTACAGGAGATCGGCGTTCGATCGCCAATCCCCGTGTTGCTGGCGTAATTCCCGGGGCACCCCAGCTTCGAATGCTAAGGTGTACGCCCCCGCGTCGTAAGTCGTGTATGGTGTACGAACTCGGTGGCAGGCCGGCTTGGGACAGGAGACGTTTGAAGGACTTCTCTAGAATAGAGGCGGTGACCGGTCGTGCGGGACGGTTTGTGGAAGGTGGGAGCAGGAAGGCTGGGGAGTCCGGGGTTGCTGGGACGAGATGTAGCATGTTTTTGTAGGCGCTGACTGGACAAAGGTTGGAACCTGGTATGGCCAGGATTGGTGCCAGGACTTCTCTCTCGTTGGCCTGTAACCGTTTTTGACCAGGAGATTCGAAGGACGAGACCCTCTGTGGCGACGGCGATGTCGCGACGACGCAGGTGTTTGTGCGGATCAAAGGCTTTAGTAGAGGACGGGACGAGGTTTGACTTTCGGAAGTATGCGAAGAAACCGAGGAGTAGGATCGCCCAGATGGTCGCGTCCTTGGAGGTTAGCGGGATCGATATGGCGATGTAGACGATTTAGTAATTCTGGGGTGACCGGTCTTGATTCCCGGGGTCGGTGCTGGAGAGTCTTTTTCAGGCCCCCGTAAGGTCTGCTTTATTTCGAAGGCTTGTAAGTCGAGGGAATAGACGCCGTTGAGTTGGTGAAGGAGCTTCACAGAGGAGAGGTAGTGCGAGATGCTGTCTGGACACTTCAGAGATCGCCCAAGGAACTGCGCGTAACACGAGAGGAGATGTGCTGTAGCCGGGAAGGCCGGTTTGTTGAAGTAGTGACAGAAGGCTAGGTAGGCCCGAAACTGTGTGCGGTGATTCGCCTGCGTCCCGACAGCGAAGGCCTGACGCTGCGTCTGCAGTGTGTCTCGTTCCAGCAACTTCCATGCCAGGGCTGTGGGAGGAAGAGAAGAAGAGACAACTGGTGAGGGGCGAGTTTCAGGTGGGTGAGGATAATAGTCTGGTCAAAGATACTTCCCAGGTGTTACCAGCTGTGTGCAAACTGGAAGGCATCTGGCGGCACCGTGACTTCCGTCCAGGTCTGGTTTTGAGTCTCTGATTGGAACCTCTGAACGTAGGCCGAGTCCAGGTGCCATCGGCTGAGTGAGTCCGCCAAACCATTGTCTGTACCAGGGATGTGGTGCGCGTGGAGGGAGAAATCTTTCACGGCTTGAAGGTAAACCAGCTCCCTGGCACAGGCTTGCATGAAGTGATCCTGAGAACGTCCTGAGTGGATGACATGTACTGTAGGGAGGTTGTCGCAGGCGATATTGACAGTGCAGCCTGCCCAGGCATTGCCCCATATTTTGCAGGCAACTATGATGGCGACCATCTCTAAGCGATGAATCGGGTGATTTGCCTGGAGGATCGCCGTGGGGAACCGGGTATGGAAGTACTCAGTCGAGAAGGTACCCCCGCATCCGGTCAGACATGCGTCTGTGGTGGGCGGTGCTGCGAGATGACGCCTGGTTGGGTCCGGGATGAGTGATACGCCGTTGTACTCGGGTAAGAAGTGATGCCACCAGTGTATGTCTTGTTTGAAGCTGCGGTTGAGACGTATTCGATGGTGCGCGCTCCGAAGCCCTTTAAGGGTGGAGATGATCCTCGACAGGAACACGCGTCCCCGGTGCCACACACGCTGTGATGAAGGACAGTTTTCCGAGTAGAGATTGAACCTCTGTCCTCGTTGCCCGTTTCTTTGTCTCCCAGGCCGCGAGCTCGTTGAGTGCTTCTGCGAGACGGTCCTGCGGAACCCGCTTTGTCATGGTTGCTGAGTTGTATTCGACTCCCAGGAAGGTCATACAGGTGGATGGTGGAGTGGCCTTGTCAGCGGATTCTTCCAAGCCTAGTCTCTGAAAGGTGTCCCCAAGGGCGCTGTAGGCGAGTTGGGCTGCATCGGGTGTGGCGACACCGCCAAAATCGTCGATATAGTTGGTGCAATGATGGCCTTGCTGAGCGTGGATGTAGGTGACGGCATTGGTTGTTCTTTGACAGGCCATGGCAGCGGTGCGCAAGCCGAAGGGAAAGGAGCTGTCGTAGTAGAGCTTGTCTCGCCACCTGTAACCGAGGAGGTAGTAATCGTGTGGATCCACTGGAATCTGTCGATAAGCGCGGCGGAGATCTCGTTTAAACATGTAGCAGCCGGGGCCCTTGTCCCGAATGAGGGTCTCGAACGCATCGTAGCTTGGTAGTGTAAGGATGAAGTCCTCTCCAAGGTATTGTTTCGCGGGTATGCCGTCATTGACCGAGGCTCCGGGAGGGAAACTTAAGTCCAGAACGACCCTTCGGCGGTTGGAACCTCGCTTCGAAACTGTTTGCAGTGGTGACGTCATGACGGAGGAATGCTCAAAGGGAGGTCGGTCGAAGGGACCGTGTGTGGCACCAAGACGCACTTCTGTCCGGATGTAATCGTCCACGGCGGAGTCGTAGACCAAGGCTGAGTTGTGATTTCGCTTCGATGGTNGTATTCGACTCCCAGGAAGGTCATACAGGTGGATGGTGGAGTGGCCTTGTCAGCGGATTCTTCCAAGCCTAGTCTCTGAAAAGGTGTCCCCAAGGGCGCTGTAGGCGAGTTGGGCTGCATCGGGTGTGGCGACACCGCCAAAATCGTCGATATAGTTGGTGCAATGATGGCCTTGCTGCGCGTGGATGTAGGTGACGGCATTGGTTGTTCTTTGACAGGCCATGGCAGCGGTGCGCAAGCCGAAGGGAAAGGAGCTGTCGTAGTAGAGCTTGTCTCGCCACCTGTAACCGAGGAGGTAGTAATCGTGTGGATCCACTGGAATCTGTCGATAAGCGCGGCGGAGATCTCGTTTAAACATGTAGCAGCCGGGGCCCTTGTCCCGAATGAGAGTCTCGAACGCATCGTAGCTTGGTAGTGTAAGGATGAAGTCCTCTCCAAGGTATTGTTTCGCGGGTATGCCGTCATTGACCGAGGCTCCGGGAGGGAAACTTAAGTCCAGAACGACCCTTCGGCGGTTGGAACCTCGCTTCGAAACTGTTTGCAGTGGTGACGTCATGACGGAGGAATGCTCAAAGGGAGGTCGGTCGAAGGGACCGTGTGTGGCACCAAGACGCACTTCTGTCCGGATGTAATCGTCCACGGCGGAGTCGTAGACCAAGGCTGAGTTGTGATTTCGCTTCGATGGTCTCAGCGGGGAAGTAGATGTGTAACCTAGCGGCCAGCCGAATTCGAGGAAATCGCAGAGAGCTGAATCGTGGTATGTGGCTAGAGCCTCTCTCCAAGCTGGAATGTTGAGTCTGGACGGCACGGCCAGTCGCAAGCCGCGGAAGTTGTACTGACCTGACTTATACACAGTGTCGTGCAAGGCTGTGTACGTGAGAGTTGGTGCCAAGGGCGGCTGCACTCGTTGGAGGGTTGAGCTGACGTTGCGGAAACCGAAGTCGAACTTAGTCCCTGAGATGCTTCAGCCTGAGGGTGTTGGGAAGTTCCGGGGCTCTCGGGGCGATCCCTCGGGGAATCGTTGTCCGCTTTGAAGGATTCGCTATCGCCGTAGCCCGTCCCTGTCCTGCTAACCCTGTTTTGAAGGAGAAGCGTTGGAGGAGTGTGGGGGAGTCTGTGCGTGTGAGAACTGTATCTTCACCTGCGTGTGAGACACTGCTACCTTGTTTGGCGTAGGTAATCTTGTCAGGGTGCGTGAATTGAGTTGTCAGGACAGAGGCTGCTGTGTTGGCTGTCAGACTGGGCCTCTCACAGTTTTGTCGATCCATCGGGGAAGTCGGGGTCCGCTGTGATGATATCGCCGTTGTGGAGGCCTGACTGTGGGCAGCTGCATCAGTTGATAGTTCTAAACCGTTTGTGTACTGGACGGTCACGGCTGGGATAATGTGAGGCAATGCGTATGCTTGGGTTGTTGTCTGTGCGTGAGCCGTGCCATCTCCTGTGGGAATGCGCAAACAAGGAAGATGAGAGATTTTTTCTGGCGTGTGACAATCTTGGGAGAGGTCGTTGTAAAGTGTCTCTGGTTGCAAGGATATCGGATCCGCCGTTGAAGGGAGCTGTAGTCATGCTCTCGATGCTTTGGCTGTCTGATAGGCATCGCGTTCTTGCTTGTTGGCATACTTGCACGATGTAGCTGGATGAGTCAGTGACACGTCTGGTCGGTACTTCGTGCAATACTTACATTTGTGGTGTAAGGTAATGCCGCTGGCACCCTGGTGATCGTTTTCTTCTGAGCAAGTGCCGGCATTGAACTTGAAGCAGGGGTTGAACTGGAGTGAACTTGCCTGTGACTGTCCCTTGGTGGACGAGGTAGTACTCTTGTTGGCCGTAGTGGCTGTTGATACTGCCGGGCGTCGTAAATACTCCTCCTTCAGCCTAGCCAGATGTGTTAGCACCTGTGTCGATTCGAGGTCAAACAAAGCCCTCTCTGCGTGGAGGAGCATCGTCCGGTAAAATGACCGGATGCCGGGAAAGGTGTAGACCTGGACATCTAACAGGAGATTGCGCAATATCAGAGATCTATTGTGGCGCTCAAGGACGCTTATCTTTGGGCTGAAGATGATGGCCAGCTCCCCAGAAATCAATTGATCCCATGTGATGTTATCTGCTGTGACCGGTGTAAGGCTATTGAAAACGAACTCGTGAGGCCAGTACACTTCTTTTACGACTTTGTCATGTACTTTTCTGCTGAGTCCGCTGAGCAGTTTGCGCTTACCTTTTCCAGGGTCGTCCTCGGTGACGGGTGCCTGTTCGAACTGCTCCTGCGTTGGTAGTTGTGCGCTGTGACGAAGCGTTGGCGCCGTCTGTTGTGCGAAATCCTCCCCCATGTAGTCGAGGACCGGATCGATTCCCGCCAGGCGGTTTAATGCCCGGATTTCAGTCAGGGAAGGCCGGTTCGGATCTCTAGTGGCTGTCTGTTGTCGTTTCTGTGCCAGGCCAAGATGGCGGTCCAGCTCTCGCGATATCGTGCGTGAGTCTCGCTCGACGACGCCTCGACGTGGAAGGGGGAGGGGGGTTGCCGATGCGTTGTCGGCGTCTTCACCCTCCAGGTTCATGTCGGCGATGTCTACCTGTAGCCTCTCGACCTCCCTAGTAACATCTCGCCATTCCTTCTGTACTGCGAGACGTAGGCGATCGCGAGGAGTGGAGACATCCTGTGGTTGATATGGTACGTCCCATTCGTCGTCCCGATAGCGTGCCGGGGGTCTGGTCTTTCTTTTTCCGGCTCCGAACATCGTGAGGAAAGGTCCGGAGCGTTGGGCAAGGCTTACGTCCAAGTTAGAAAGTGTCTTCAATGATCAGTTCGCTTTTTTGTTAGAGTTCGCTGAGTCGTGTCCCTTCGAGGCGGTAGCCGCGCCGTGTGTGGTCAAGACGCTCTGCTACCGGAAGTTGCGTGTCTCAGGTCACGTGATGCTGGCGGGTGAAATTCCCCGGTATGACCCCGATTGGCCATACCAACAC